AGCCAACTCGAAATTCGGGTTGAAAAAGCAGTCAATCTAAATTTGGCTGGAAAAAGGAGCCTACTCAGGTTCGGGTTGAAGAAGCAGCCAACTCGGGAGTAATTTTTTTTCATAAAGTTTTGTAGTGGTAGCAGTGACATTCACAATAAAGATATACCTATATAAACGAACAAAGATTTTTCGATGATCCTATGTTTCACTGCAATTAGACGTAATTCTATGATAAGACTGTGGACATAATGCATTTTGAATGTTATTTAAAAAATGTTTAACTAATTTTTTTTGTTTTGAAACATCGTCTTAAAAAAACAACTTATTTCAAACACAAATAAAATCTTTTTTTTCAAACTTTAGTATAAATAATTTTTATATTTTTTTATTTTTTCCTAATTATCAAACACATCAATTGTATGTCAACGCGGCATCCTATTAAATAATGTTTTTATCAAATGCGATAGTTATATATTCTATTATTATATATATATCAACTGTGATATTCTTGTACAAAAAAGATAAGGTATCATACACAAAAATTCCATATTTTTGTAAGTATATTTGTGTACATGTACATTCGCATACAACATTATAGTCATATTTATTTAACGTTTTCTCTTCCCCCTATGATCACAGCAGAATAGTAAAGCACCCAATCAAATAAATATAGTATGCTCTGTTACAATAAGATGAACTACATTTCTAAAACGTTGAAAAATCTTTGTTCCTTTATATAGGTATACCTTTATTGTGAATGTCAGTGCTACCACAAAAAAAATTACTCCCAAGTTGGCTGCTTCTTTAACCCGAACCTGAGTTGGCTCCTTTTTCAAGCCACATTTGAGTTGACTGCTTTTTCAACCTGAATTTCAAGTTAGCTCCTTTTTCACCAAGTATCTGAGTTGGCTCTGTCCTTTACTGAGCCGTCGATATATTACTGTGCTACTTTGTAAATATGTAGTCAATAAAATAAAAAACACGTTCTCCTTATTCTTGGCAGAGACCGCACTCTGGCCACCTCACTTAAGAGATAGAAAACGATATTGACGAGAACAAGTTTTATAAGTTTTTTAAAATAATTGTAATAGTTAGATTAGTTAAAAACGAGAATTCTCTATGATTTATCTAATCGTAAGCATTTGGTCGAAACCAACTAGTTACGTCTAAACCCACATCGATAGTTATCTATAATATCTTTCCCAGAAGGTATTGGTATGTCCAGAAGAATATTACATAGTACTTTATAGCAGGTTAAAAGTAATAATATATCCCACAGTTATCACAAATGTATCCGTCTCCTTTTTTAAAAATTGGTATTATGGCTGATTCGGTCCATTCTCAGGGATTCTGTTCCTTCTTCTTAATTTGCTTTATTAAGCCATGTATTTTCATACTTAATTGCTTTCTCTCTTCATTTATCAGTTCCACAGGTTTGCTGTCCATTCCCGGAGCTTTATTGTTTTTAAGTTTGCGGATCGCTTTTTCTACCTCTTTAGTTGTTGGCTAATTTATCTCTATTTCTGCGGTAAAAACGTCTTGAAGGTTTTCATCCTCATTATTCGTATAAACATTGAATAATTGAATTAAAATAATTTTTCTCTCTTGTTAGTGCTTCCTCATTATTCGCGATCATATAACCATTTCCATCTTTAATATAAATATTTCAATATCCTTTTTAATTTGCATTTATTCCCTAAAAAATATCACACACATTGTTTTTTATGTAGTTTTCAATTATATTTATAATTCTCTTATTTTCCATTCACATTTCTTTTTCCTTTATATCCTACTTGCTGCTGTTCTACAATTTCTATAGTTTTCTAGAACTATTTCATTGTTATTGTTGAAGTGTACGGCTCTTGCCATTTCCCAAGCCTTTATTAACTTTATACACTTGTCATCAAACCACGGTGTCCCACTACTTTGCTTTTGCTTCTTCAATCGCGTTTTTTATTTCCTCACTTTTCAACTATGCCCTGCACCAGATCTAACATTACTGCGGGCTGATCAGTTATACAGTTATCGATTTCCCGTTTATACTCTAATTTTTCTATCACAAACTTTTATAAGATTTACTGGAGCACTATTTTCTCGCCTTTATTAAGCATATCCTAACCTTAGTTACTATCAGAAAATAGTCACAGTCGCAATCAGCTCCTATATAGGTTCTGGCATTAAAAATGTTAGCTGTATCTTCTGTCAGTTAATACATGATCGATTAAAAAATTTATTAAGGCATAAAAAAAACTGTTTTTCGGATTTACTTAACACCGTTTACCACTAAAAAAAGTTTAAATATTCAGGAGCTATAAAGTTCATTAAATGCTTCCAGTTGTTTCACGATCTAGAATTCTTTTTCCTTTTTAGTAATATAAAATTACATTACTTTGAACGAATTTGATTTAAAGAGTGATTTTTAATCATAAATAACACAGGTCAACATTTGATCTACGCAGGAACGCCGGAAGCAGTCAGTTGCTCCTAGGGTTTTTGGGGTCGCTGATTACGATGAAGGGGTTGGCCAACTTTCATCAGGTCAGGTTCAAGGTCATTTGAAGGTCAAGTGGAGAAGAAGTCTTTTAAAAAATCTGAAAAAAATCATACCCATATTTTCGAGGTCAGCGAATTAAAATAAGGGGTCGGCTAACCTCTATCAGGTCAGGTTGAATGTCATTTAAAGGTCAAGTGGAGAAAAAACCTTTTAAAAAATCTGAAAAAATCATACTTATCACTCAAATACTCAAATCGAAATAAGAGGTTGGCTAACCTAAATGAGGTCAGTTTTAAGGTGATTTGGAGGTCAAGTGGAGAAGAAACCATCGAAAAAATTTACGAAAATTCGTGCATATGTTTCATAGGTCGCTAAATCCAATTTTTTTTAAGTAGTAACGTCTTCTAGTCGTTATTTTTTATCTTTTATGCAGAAAGAAAACATAAAAGACACGCTTAAGCTGATATTTCTGGTAAATCTTCGGCTGTTTTTTATCTTTATTTAAGCTATATTATTCATCGGCTCGAAACCTTTTCCGTTGAATAAGAAATGATCGTCTAATTGCTTTTCTCTTGTGTGTTTCATTTAACTCTCTGCAAATTCCAACAATAGTCTGCTAGCGTATTTTTACCCCGAACTCCTTGATACCTTACTTCAAAATCTCTTAGATCCTGGTGCATCCTCTCACCTTGCTCTTCGCTGACGTCCCCTAAGTTTTCAGGGAAGGTTTCTTCTAGGAGGCCAGACTTTTCTCATATAGTATTCATCTCGCGCTCGACTATTGCACTCGCAAAGAAAGCATGGATATGATGTGAATCCTCTTTGTAAGCCGATCATGATTGTTGTTATTTTCAGATTGCCACAAATATTTCATTTATGTTCATCATATTTTAATTTTTGTAATAAAAAATGCAAATTATGATATTCTTTGTTCATTGAAACAGAATAAGCAATAGGTAAAGGAGCATACACATTCCCATTGTGAAGCAAGATAGCTTTCAGTCTTCTTATCGAAGAATCAATAAGAAGACGCCAATCACAAGGTCTGTATTATGTGTCAAATTTCTTAAACAAACCTATGATATCAAAGCAGTAAATCAAGTTGTTCATTTTTGTAAAAAACTTTCTAAATGGTTTGTCTCTTGAACGGTAAAATGTAACGTGTGTTCCAGAAGCCAAGCACTTTTTTTCTTTAAGTCTTGATGCTAGAATTTCTGAACTTTCTTTTAAAAGACCCAAATCACGACAAAGATCACTAACATCAGCTTGGGAAAATTTTTAGAGGTTAGCCGACCCCTTATTTTAATTTGCTGACCTCGAAAATATATGTATGATTTTTTCAGATTTTTTAAAAGGTTTTTTCTCCACTTGACCTTCAAATGACCTTGAACCTGACATGATAGAGGTTAGCCGACCCCTTATTTTAATTCGCTGACCTCGAAAATGTAGGTATGATTTTTTTCAGATTCTTCAAAAAGTTTCTTCTCCACTTCACCTCCAAATGACCTTGAACCTGACCTGATGGAGTTTAGCCAACCCCTTATTTCGATTCGCTTATCTCAAAAATATAAGTATGATTTTTTTCAGATTTTTTAAGAGGTTTCTTCTCCACTTCACCTTTAAATGACCTTGAACCTGATCTGATGAAGATTAGCCAACCCCTTCATCGTAATCAGCGACCCCAAAAACCCTAGGAGCAACTGACCGCTTTCGGCGTTCCTGTGTAGATCAAATGTTGACCTGTGTAATCAATAAGCCATTTAAAGAAAATTAAAGTCAGAACATTTATTAGAATACTGTTTGTTAGTTAAAAGTTCAGAAGTTGATATAAAATTATCTGTCAAACTTTATATCTCTGTAGTACTTCAAAAACCAGTCTTCAAAAAAATTTTATTAACTTATTTAATAAACTAGACATTATTATTAGACTTAGACGCAGGGTATATTTTATCGTAAAACTGTGTATCAACGTATCTATTGAATATGTTATCTAATAACAGATCGTACGCAACTCTAAAAAGTGTTGAAAGATGCTTTGTTAATCTATGTATTAACAGGTACCCGTATTGACATTGGTTAGAATAAAGTATAACTGTAAATATATTTTACTATTTTTTACTCATACAAACGTCCAAGTTCTCGTTTAAATTTTGTTTTGATAAATAAATTTTCTAGCTCTGTATTTTTATGAAATTCTCTTTACGATCAAAAAAGTTTTATTGGAACAACTGTAAGATTATAATACAGATAAAAAAAATTAGTTTTTCTCTTTTATCATTTTAAAATGTCAACGAATTTTTAGTCAACATTAGGATAAGTACCTCTTACTTTATCTGTAATTGGTTAAATAATGTTTTTTTTTACTAACTTAAAAATAAAAAAAACTCTAATAAAAACAAGTCAATAATACACATTATGTGTTTGAGTTTGTATTAGTAGTGAGCATACCTTCATACATGTAGATTATTATCAAGTTGTGTATTTTTCTAAAGCTTCTGACTACGGTGTATTTCAGGTACAAATACGAGAATATAGAGAGATGTAACTTCAGAGATGAGGCCAGAAAAAATGGAATTACCGTAAGGGAATCGAATGAAACAACTTTAGAATCACAGTATGAACCAATGAAAAAGGTAATTAACTATTTTCAAATTCAGTAAACTAAAGTTTCGTAAGATAATATAGATAACGGAGTTAAACAATTTTTACTTTAATTTTAATCAGTCAATAAAGTTTTTTTTCATTACTAATCAACACTATTCAATTAGGTGGAATTATTTTACAGCTGAAATTGTATCTTTCATTACGTGATTGTTATTAATATTTTAAATAATATTTTGTATCTGAAATTATTGAAAAATGTCAGTTGAATTTTCGTGTAATTAAAGTTCTTTTAAGTTTTTGTATCATATTCATACAAGGTGTATAGATGGAAAAGTAGTTTTCCAACAAGTCTTGTCGTATTTTAGAAGATTTAATTTTTTTTTTCGTAAATTCTTTCGTATACATGATTTTTTAATATTTCATTTTTTAGTTTTAAAAATGTCTAGTAGTCATTAATAAATTCACGCTTGTCTTTCTTACATTTAGTGGAGTGAATAAGTCGGAAAATGTGGAAAACCTAGGAAACAGCACCGATTTAAAAATTTTTTGTTTCTACCTGTTCCTTAGACCTTCAGGAACATTCATCGGCACTGACCCCGGTCCCGCATGCAAAATCAAGGGTAAGGTGGATGTTGGAACCCCCCCAAACCATCTCAAATGTAAAAAAATTTATAAAAGCAATATTTTTTCTCAGAAATGCCTTCTAACAGGTATTTTTGGTCGCTAATCATGAATCAGAGGTCCAAATTTCAAAATAGAGCACTTAACAGCGGGATTTGGGCCATTTTTGGCCTAAAAAACCATTTTTTCGCTAAAATATGTCAAATGGATGTTTTTTTGCGATAATGCTTTCTAGTGGGTATTTTTGGTCGCTGATCACGAATCTGAGGTCCAAATTTACAAATAGTGCACCTTACAGCGGGATTTGTAGAATAGAGTGCCACTAGACAAACATTGTTCAAGCATTAAAGTAGTACATCATTAACTTTGTTTCAAACTTACTGTATTTAGTGATGTTTTAAAATACTTTGATAGGTGGGGAAAGGAAGCAAATTATAACAATAAATAATTGCAATGCTGCACGTATTCAGACAGTGATATAAGAATGAGACAATCTTTATTAAAAAAAATTAGAAATTAATTACATATAAAATACAAAAAGGCAATTCACTCGTAATCCGAATCATTTTCCAAAACTGGCACTGTACTGTTTGTTGCTTCTTCTTCAGCGTCGCTGGTCTCCTCCTCATCTGGTATTCGATCAAAACAAATTATTTCATCATGATTTGTGTCAGATATCTCGTGGTTATCGCAGCTTTTTCCACCACAAACTTTATACGCTTGCGAGCAAAATACGCCATTCTTACGACAACCGCAAGTTACTCCGCATCCACTGCGGCAGCCACACAAAATAGCATCCAAAATTTTTCTTGGCACTGGCGGTTCTGTCATCCTTACGGGGTACAAGACGCTGTCAATCAACTTCCAACCCCAATCTGTGGGATTTAGGGTTGTGATTGTATTTTCATGATTAGGCATTAAGAAACCGATCCACGATTGTAAACTGTTTAGGGCTGGAGGTAACATGCCAATATTGACTGTATTTTTCTTCGTTGATTTAAGATTTTGAGCATTTTTTTCAAAAACAATGTGTATCTGGCCTTGCACAGTTGTTTTTCCGCCGAAAAAGTAGTATCAGACGCATTTACTTTGCAATTGTATAACTCTAACAAGCATGCTACTCCACCACTTAATACTTGATCGATATCATTTACATATTCTTTAAATGAACCTGCTTTTTGACGCAAATTAGCAGATGCTGGTGTATCTCTGTTAAAAATGTCAAAAAAAATTTTTTTGCCACGATTGAAAAAAGCAGACGTAGTGTCAGTTCCGGTAAACGCATGGGCAAACAGAATATGTTCCTTTACATTTTTGTAATTCTTATCCAAACTCTTCGTTGAGAATAGTTTCATATCTACTGTCCCGCTACTACTTTTAGGTTTTAGGAAAAATATCTCTTGATCATCTGTCAGTGCAGTCAAAATTACTAAGACATCTATATCTTCAGATACAACAACAACTTTTTTATCAGGGTAGCAGTTGGATACGATCGCTTTAGCAGCTATAGTTCTGTCAGCATCTCCTGTACACAAAATTGATTTGTAATTTTTTTCAAGCAGATACTCGTGCAACATTTTTATAAAAATTTTTTTGTTATTTTCGTTAGACAGAAATTTACTTTTCTCGACGGCTAGTTTGGTATTTTTATTGAATCTATATTCCATAGAGATGTATTTTTTGGTCCTTCTAGTCCTCTCTGCCGCTTTTATTGTAACGTCATCGTACCTATCAAAAACAATCGTAACATATTTACCATAATTTATTTTTATGTGCGATATATAAGTAGATGTTATGTTTTCGAAGGTATTACCAGTTTTCCAGGGAATCTTATGCAACAACATACCACCATCGATCACATAATAAAAATTAAGTGTATCTAATTCCACGTAGTACTCTTCGAAAAAAGCGTATAAATCTGACTTAGTATTTTTTCTCATTCCTTTGGCATCAAACAGTGCTAAGGGATACGTAGCTAACTCAAAGGAAAATAAGTCTTCGAATTCTTCAGCAGACGTCGCATTATTTATTTACACAATGCATGCCCGTTGGAATATTAGGTCAGTGCTGATTGGAATTACAGTGTCATCTACTGTTACAGTTTTTTTAATTTTATCTAATGATCTTACAGAGTGCTTCCTTGATAATTTCTAGTCTTTAAAATTCTGTCCAACAATACTTTCGAGTGTACCGATTCCTTTTTCAAAAGCCTTGTGACAATCAACTTTTTTGTCCGCAAGTAATCCTGTTGAGATAGACACAAGGCCTAAACTGCTAATGAATTGAGAGCTAAAACTGAATTCAGAGCTAAAAGGATTGTGTGCGTATGAAAATTCTCGCAACGCAATCCTTATGCCTTAGCATCAGTTTTTTTGCGAGCATCTTGCGAATCCTTATGCTGACAGGACTTTTCTAATCCCACGCCCGAAAAGTTTTCTACACCTTCTATAACGTCTTTTGTACATAATGATATGGCCAACCACTTATGCACAACACTTTCTGCTGCACCACGACGGAATGGACCACCATCGACACTCTAAGCATTCATTAATGTCTGCTCTATGGTTTGATCAGAAAATATTCCACTCCAGAACAAATCTTTCCGACGAATAGTCCAGTATCCTCCCGTAGTGAAAGCCTGATATTCAAGAGGGTCCATAACTTTCTCCAATGCCAGCATATCTTGAAGGTACAGCTGGGCTGATTTAGCATACGACATATGGCCAGCAGAGTGAAAAAACGGAATCATTAATCCGACAGTTCTGAGAAGCGCCTCCCAATCGCCCGATTTTTCGGCTGCAATGAAGTCTTTCAGTACTGACGCCATCCTGAAATATGATACCCAAAATTCAGCTGTTTTGCTGATACGCTGCAATTTTTCCAATTCATTTTCAAATGCATTTACAACATCTTTCAACACCTTACTTTTTAAAATGTCTTCACCGTTGCACTCTCTTGAATTAAAAAATATATCGGAGACCTCGTCAAATTTGAATACTTCCAAAAATGTAGTGTCTTTGCTTTTTAAATCATCGAAAATCATTTGGGCCAACGCAAGCTGTATTAAAGTGTGTGCGCGCACAGCACGTGAGTATGCATGTCCTGTCAAAATGTGTTTTACGGTTCCATCGGCATATATTTCACACATCAACTCTCTCAAACCTGAACCAGCCATAATTTTACCGATACAGCCCATATATGACATGAGTATGTGAATACTTCCTAGACGAACTATTATATTGATATTTCCGAAATCAGCTACCCCAACAATATCTCTCGTCTTGAAATACAGGGGCTGGTCGTATGTAATAAAGCACGTTTTCACATCATATTGTTTTGCCGTTGAAACAGACTTCTTAGCTGCAGTGTACAGGGTGTCGAACTCACTTGGCGGGTTGCAAACAAAATCAACGTAATTGATTGCCGACACATCGTAATTTTTTTTGGACTTTGTTAACACTTCAAAAAAACCATTCCATCAAGGGAAATAATGGTCTCGTAAACGCTTGGCCCACTGACTGAAGACCAGGATTGTACTGTAGATGCATCGAAATCAAGAAGGATTATTGATGTCGAGCATAAAAAGCAATTGTTAATATAATCAAATTCATCTTGTTCGGGTTCTGCTTCGCTATCACAAACCCTTTTAGAAGCTGATGTATCAGTTGGTGATTCTGCTGTTCGTTTTGCATAATATTTCGCTCTACAATTTTGATGTACGTATATATCGGTATTATCTGCTGTTAACTTATCAAGGTGCTCTTGTAATTGGTCTTGTTTGACCTGCAAAGCTAATTGTAGTGTTTTCAAACCTTTTGAGCCAACTTTGTTTAGCACAGATCCCTTGAGAATAGCGGCAATGACCCCGACGCCAAAGTAGTCACATATGACGCAAGTTTCAGCAGAGTCGCTCATGGTTACACGTCTACAATAAGAAAATCAATGGTACCTTAAGATGTAAGTAATGAAGAGTCACATATTGTATAGGGCGCGTTCAATAATAATTGTTAAGAAATTATTTATAATATAAACAGGGATCACAGAAGTAGCTGCATATCCAAACACGTGGTCAAAATATTCCAACGAATGATTCATACATTATTTCACTCTGTATCTCTCACACTCCATGTATATTTCAGTGTTACATATATATAAATACACATGTACATAAACATGTGTGCGTGTGCGCGTGTACGTATGTATCTATACATGCATATAATTATATCAGAATCAGACAGTAAATTATTGAGAGAAAATCTTATTGTTTTACGTGAACATAATGCAATTGAACAGGATTGAACATAATATTGAAAACTTAAACATAACGAAGTATTAGAAATGTTAACGTACCTGTGCAGGTTAATTGTAGAGATTTTTTTAACAGATAACTTTTTCACTAACATATAAT